AGAGTTATTACTCCATCTATAATGTACAAATATAAGCTATTCTTTGCTTTGTAGTAAAACTATGTCTTAACCCAATACCGTGGGTAGATTTTTAAGCCGAAAATAATAGTTTCCGGGCAGTGTCAAAGTCGGTGCGCGGGCCAGTCCAGGAACTGGCCCATCCACCACGGGCGACAAATCAGAGCACAAGCTCCGATCTAGTGTCGCACAGGTGGGACGCCTAGGAATTCCCCCCGCCCCACGCAAGTGGGTTAAATCAACCACGGGCGACAAATCAGAGCACAAGCTCCGATCTAGTTAAAATGTCATGAAATTATGACATTCAGCAAAACAAATAGTATTTGGTTTAGTTCTATCTTTAAACACTATCTCCAAAATTGTTAATCCAGTGATAACAATTACAAAACTTTGCACATATAATCAATTAAATTAACAAACACTAGAGGAACAAGATTCTGAAGCATTCAATATGCTATCACCCTGTGGCTTGTAGCTTTGAAAGTCTGAATCATTTACCCATATACATAATATTAAAGCCATACCATTTTTTTATTATAATACCAAATTACTACCATAACCCTCAAATAAAAAGGTTCCCAAAACAAATTGCCAAAAGGAAATTACTAATCAAAACCTCTTTTTCATGGCTCAATACAATCAACTATGCATGATGGAGGATATTTAAAAGCTCGGCCTGTATAGCTACTTACTTTGCAAAATTTTCTTCCATGGATCAAGTGACTGAGGCGTCCTTGACTTTTTGGAACGGAATTTGTGCTTTCCAGCTATTTCTGGGTCTTCCTCATCAGAATCTCCAGGTTTGGCTGCAATGGCTTCAGCTTCTCGACCATTGACGATGATTATTCCAAGCTCATCCTATAAAACAAATTTCAAAATATATTAAAATTCTGGCATATTCATCTAATTATATATTTCATTATAAACAGAAACTCAATGTTTTAAGCTGGGCAAGGAAATGCTCCTTTGAAATCACATGGTTACTTAAAAACTAGCTCCAATTTTAAGACAGGCCTGTAAATCATACACAACCCATACATACATACATACATACATACATAAGGACAAGTATAATCATAATACTATAATATCATGCATTTATGCATAAATAAATAAATAAATAAATAAATAAATAAATATATATATATATATATATATATATATATATATATATATATATATATATATATATATATACTAATATAACCCTATATATATCTAATATACTATACCATGTATATATTCTATATATACAGTATAATATAATACATTATATATATACCACTCGGTAACTACCTATATTCTCACATGCTCATATACTATTTATGCATGTCATATATATACTTACCTCCCCATGTATACTTCCATACCCTACATGTATATTCACTTGTACATCGTTATATATCTCTAACTCTGGTGTTCCCTCTCCTCTCCATTTCGTATATCTATCATATCTATGTACTCATTAAATATGATATACTACTAATACATGTCTAGTTCATTATACTACTACTAGGTATATATCTCACTTTCTCTAATATATTCCTCCTTCCATCTATTATCATCTATAATATATATATAATTATACCTCCATATATATACCTAAATATATATATATAACTATAATCATCATCTATGTAATTTCTTCTACTACTATAACATGTATTCTATATACTATCACTTGTACTTTATATATAATACTACTGTAATTTATATACTACATGTCTCCTTCTCCTCCCCTTCTCTCTCTTTCCCCTCTTCTCTCTCTGTCCTCTCTATTCTCTACTCTCCTCTCTCTCTCCTCTCGTTCCTCTTTCTTCTCTCTCGTCTCCTCTCTCTTACATATAAAGTCCAACCTCTATCCTCCTCTTCATATCTACAACATTAATATATGTTTTTTTTTGTTTATTATCATGTTGGATGGATTAGTGTTTTAGTCAGGTAGTTAGGTGATGTTTTACTAGATCATATATGTGTATCGTTATATGTGCTTGATGTATGCATGTTGTTATAGTGTGTGTTGTTATGTTATTGTTGATCAGTGTTTTGTGATGTGTTGGTTAGTGTTCTGTATGTAAGTGCAGTTATTAGTTATGTTATGTGGTATTGTAGTGTTTACATGTATAGTGTTATAGGTATATGTGTTTCAGCTCAGGTTATTGATGTGTTAGTGTGGTGTGTGTGTGTATACGTTAGTATGTGTGTTGTGTGTGTAGTTGTATGGTTGATGATGTTGTGTGTGTGGTATGTGTGTGTTTTTTAAAATGTAGTGTTTGTAGTTCCCCTTCTTGAGGTGATTCTCTCATCATCTATTATGTCTCACTACTCTTTATTAATATGTTCTTGTTCATCTACATTCTCGCGTGTGTGTCAGTATGTTTGTATCCCTCTCATATGTATCCTGTATTACTCATCTCTATTACTTACTACTGTATTTATTCCTCACATTATCATATGTCTCTCTAACTTTGAGGGTCTTCTC